ACTGTGGTTGGGAGTCAGTGGAGGTAAGGAAAAGCAGGTGGTCAAGGGGTCATCTTGAGTGCATTTGTACGTTATAGCCTAAAGGGTTAAGGGGGCATTTACCTCTCAGGGACAGGGAGAAATAGGAAAAAAACAAAGTATATCTCTCCTGTGAGGGGAGGGCAGAAATAAGGCCTTGGAGGACGCAAGATATAAAAAAGACAGACACTGCTTCTCTTTATTTCTCCTCACTGACTCACGAATGTGTATTGGTGACGAAGATCTCTCTTGCAAGAGAATAAATACTTTATAAACTATTAAATTGGACTCAGAGTGTCTCTTACTCAGTGATGATGTTTGTTGGTAAGAAAAAGCCACAACAATCTGGTGTCAGAAGTGGGATTCCCTGGAAGTGCCTTCTGGACCTGAGAGCGGGCGGTGTTTGGCCACCTGGACTGAGCAGTTCCAGCTCTACCTCGTAGGCTTGAGAGAGAGGGGCCGACCGCTATCGGGTCCGGGAGGGGCTCCACTGGAATCAAAAGAAAGCGAACCCGTGGCAGCCAACATATCTCTGGTAAGAGACGTCTAAAATATTTTCTTTTGGGGAAAAGTATTTTGTTTCGGGTATGAAATGTGAGTGAACCATATTGGCTGAGGGCTGTTTCTGTGGTACGTAATCTGAGATTAATTGAGATCTATATATAGATCAAGAGGTTTCAAACAGATACGAGAGAAAATTATCTGAGATTAATTGAGGTCTGCGACAGAACAAGAAATTTCAAGCAGATAAATAATCTGGGATTAAGTGAGAACTGTAACAGATCAAGAGATTTCAAACAGATAGGTAACCTGAAAATCAGTTGTTCCACGACGGAGCAAATTTTTTTTAGGTACTGAGGCTAATTAGGGGGAACCAGAACAGTTTTTGGTAAACCTTAATTAGGAGGGCACTAATAGTGCAACCCGACCGATTTGGGTTAAAAGAAAAAATCAGGTCTGTTGGGGACGCCTAACAGATTAGGAAAACGCGCGTTGAAGAGAAATCCACAGAGAACAGAGAAGCAGCCAATATGGGGAAGTCTCAAGGTAAGCATGCAAAATTTGATACACCGGTTTTCTATCAAATGAGAAAATTATGGGGGAAAATTTATGTTTTAGATATTGAAAAAAACTGAGAAAATACCATGATTTCCCCAGGGAGGGAACACTGAGCACAACTAGACTGAAAGTAGTGCGAGAATCAGTTGAACAGGGCAGTGAGAAACAAAAAGGTTGTTATGGCTGTGTTCAACGTGTGTAAGCAATGTGGACAAACAATGGATTGTTGTCTTAAAGGGTCAGATAAAAAAGAACTGTCGAGAGAAATAAGGTTTTTACTTCTTCATCCAGTAAATGGATGCATGACATTAGATGTCTAGAGAACTTAAATTTATATGATAAGGATTGAAGTAGCAAGCAGCAATAAGGCTGTCTGTGTGAAATAGAGGATTGTAATTTGATATTTTGGTTTCTGCAAAACAGTAAAGATAAGTGGGACTGAGACAATACGGATAATATTTTTTTTGGATCTCAGACTAACCATTTGATAAAGGAATACTGTGAGAAGTAGTTATAATGAAAAAAAATTTTTTTATGTTATCAAAACAAGGGAAAGATTGGAAATTCAAGTGTCACTATGACGGGTGAGAGACTTGATGGAAGAAGAAAGTGAAAAACAAAAGGTTGGCGTGTGAGACATGTTTGTGTGGGGATTGTGCAAACAATCATGTACTGGTTAGATAATGAAGGAACTGGCATGTTTGAGAAAAGAAAGGAGAGGATAATGAAGGAACTGGCATGTAGGGAAAAGAAAGGAGAAATACAGTAGAAAACTATATGTGATGAAAATAGACATGGTCTGACAGAATTTATGGAAGTCAAATTAACTGTTTAAATGATATGAAAAGTTTTAGAATAAAATAAGGCATTGTATGATTGACAGGGATTAACATGATATGAAGAATGTTTAAGCAGAATGGGGAACAATTCTAGATTTTGATAAAATAATGATTGAAATGATGATATATCTGCTTTATTTTATTAATGTTAAGAAAATAAGGGTATTGAAGCAAGTAGTGATGGAAGAAAAAAGGCTTCAAACCAGTTGTAATGAAAATAATGATGTACAAATTGTTACACTTTATGAAGAGTAACTGAACAGTCCTGGGGGAAAAAATAAATAAATAAATAAATAGTGAGACAGAAGAGAGCAAATGCTGTAAACAGCTCTGCTCTGAAGATCTCACTTTGAAGAGATTTGCAGATGATGTTTTGTAAAAGATAAGCTGGAATAACAGCAACAGTGCTTGCTTATTCGCCCGGCTTCCGGATGTTAGACATGTAGGCTACTTGTAATTAGTGTTGTTGATGATAATACCAAATTAGTAAGGTAAAGACAGAAAACAAATTCGAATATTTTGAGCATTTTCTGTGCTGCTCATGAAAATGAATGTGCTGCCAATGATAATGATAATGAAGATTATGATTTGGCTATTGTGATTGAATCCGCCATTGGTGGATGGTCAAAGGAATAGAGAGAACTGCTTAGCAGTGGGTCTGTTTACATTCCTGAATGGGACACACACTGCTTCAAGGGTGTGCAGTAAGTTGGAGCCGTTTGCAAGCTCACAGTGATCAAACTATAGTCAAGGTGTCTGATGCTGTAGTTGAGGCTGACACATGAACCCACCAGATGACAGAGAGTGTCTGGATTGTGGTCAGCAGGACCATTTAACACGTAACTGTAAATGCCCACCGAGAAGGTGTTTAAAAAAAAATGTGATAGTGACACATTTCTGATAATAATGTGGGTTTGAAAGTAGATCAGTGTTTAAATGACGACATTAACATTTTGTCTGAGAAATAAGAGATAAAAAACAAGGTCAAAAGATTGAAGTCTTAAAGTGAATCCTTTCGTGACTCCAACAAATGTGAGTTGCAAAATATGTAAAGGTAACTAGACGGATGATTGTGTTTTAATTAAACATTTTTAAAAGGGTTCAGGTAATATAGAGAGACAGATCTCAAAAATGATTTATAATAACTGCAAAAGATGCAGAGTAGCCTTGTCAAAGTTAGTGTGAATCCTGATTGGAGACTGATAAACTCCTAGAAGAGAAAACTTTGAAGTCAGAGATTAAACTATGGTAATTGAGATTGAGAAATGTGAAACGTTATTGAGAACTAGAATAATTACCATTATGTAAGAACAAATAAGCAGAAGCAGTAGGCTACTGAATTAACAGTTGCTAAATGTAAAATGTGTTGAAAGGCATCTAATTAAACAAACAGCTTGAAAAGTTGACCATGAAAGAACTAGAAGCTGATGTTTTGCTTTCAAAAGATAAGTTTGTTATTGGCTGTAATGAGAGACAGAGACTCAATCTGAATGGAAATTTGTAATGTCTAAATTCCCTGAGATGGGCAAAAGACAAATATAAATAAGATGTTTATTTGAAACCGTATGTAATTTCTGGCAAAGATGCCTTAAGCTGGGATAGAGTTAAAAGATGATAGATAAAAGTTTGATGTTAGAAGTATCTGAGAGAGCAGTGTTCCATCCAATAGAGTCTCAGAGTCTCTCTCATTCAATGAGTCAGCTAAAAGCTGTTATCTGTGATAATAAGTAAAGCACAGTGTTTCAGTTGAAGATCATAGACACAGAGATGTTTTAAAAATAAAACTGAATGACTTTAAAGAAGTATTTAAAATAATAATACAGATAGAGATGACATTTTGATTAGCTTATTTTAGGACCAGTAACTTCTTTGTCTCATTTAGTCTCCACCATTCAGGACCGATGGCTCCGGCTACAGATGAAGTACACTGAATGTACGGTTGTGATCTAAATTCACTGAGTATAATCTAGGGATGTAACGATATCAAAATCCCACGGTACGATACAATTTCGATATTGACCTCACGGTACGATATTTATTGCGATATTGTGGAAAAGCTCACGGTATTGTTAAATAGCTCACGATAGTGTTTGTGATGATAATAGCAAAAAAATACTGACATTTATTTTGCTTTTGCCAGTCAACAGGCAATTTATTGTTGTTTTTATGGATCATGACAACATAAAACGCTGATCACATAGTGCTTTTAAAGTGCAAGTTGTAGTCAGGAACATCAATATTCTGTATAGTAATATTTGGTTGCATAACTGATTCTTCTGTGCAATGTTCAAGTTAAGAAGCAACTAGAACAATTGTAAACAATAGGGAATTCCCTTTAAGTGCAAACAAAGATCAAGTTAAGTCAGGTTTATGTGCAAAGCAAATAAAAGCAGCCTTTTAAAACTGGTATTTAGAAACAAAACTTAAACTTAAATAAAATAGTCAGTCAAAAAGCCTTTTAAAAAAACACTGACCAATCATTTAGCTTATGTTCACGTTTTTCATCAGAAAGATCAAAATATCTACATTTCAAGGGAGAAGGGAAAAAAAAGACAATAAATTCCTTAAACAGTCTGGCAAAAAGCCTTCTGAAAAACACTGAACTATCCTTTAGCTAATGTTCAAGTTTTTCTTTAGAAAGATCAAAAGATCTACATTGCAAGGGAGAAGAAGAGACCTCTGGGCATTGACAATATCCCCTGCTGTTGAAAATACCCTTTCACTGGGCACCGAGGTAGCGGGTATACACAGGTAGGTCTTTGCTAATGAAGACAGAATAGGATACCGCCCTGCATTGTCTCTCCACCACTTAAGAGGGCAAGCAGACAGAGAAACTAATGCTTCTTTGCAGTAAGAGTCAATTTCTGCCTGAATTCCACCTGTGACTTGATTACTGCTAAAAGAAGAGCCAAGGAGGTCCTCAAGGGCATGCTTCTTAAGAGGAGGCACAAAGCTCGCGCTGCTGTCGTCCAGATCTGCTGGATGTGGGCTCCTGGGCAGCACTTCTTGGTCCTGGTTCATAAATTATAAAAAGACATTATATTAGCATTTTGTTACATTTTATTGTATTTCTCTCAATTTTCTCTATGGCACAGCGTTAACATTTTTTACCTGTTGTTGCATCTGTGATGCTTTGAACTTTATTCTTTCAAAGACGTCCTCTCTCTCTCCACTGCCTAGATGTTGCAAGGTCCGAAAGCGTGGATCCAAAGCACTGCTCTCCTGCATGAACTTTTCATCCTCTCCTTGGTATCGGTCAGTAAGATCCTTCAGAATGGCTGCCTTCATCTGAGCAATGGCATTTGACCCGTGATTATCTGTGGCCATGCTGTCTTGAATCATTTGTTTTAGTGGTGAAATGAGAGATATTGTTGGTTGCGACTCATCACAGAGAACAGTTGTGGCCTTTTTTATTGGTAAAAGAATCTTCACAAGATCCTCTGCATTTGCAATGTCAGATGTGTCCAAAGTGTCAATTTCACGTGACTTGTGTCTCAGTTCATCACTCAGTAGGGCTGCAGCAACAGCTTGTTGTTGTTCAAGGTAGCGCTCCACCATGTCCAGAGAGCTATTCCATCTTGTCACTACATCAATAATGAGTTTATGTACAGGGAGATTGAGTAGTTTTTGTTTGGTGGTCAGCACGGCTGTGGCTGTAGAACTGCGGTGAAAAAAACTTGCTACACGTCTGACTCTACCGAGGAGGCGGCTCACTGCGTTGACCTTTAAACCTGCCAGGTTTAGTCTGTGCGCAAAGCACCGTATGTGAGGGGACAGTTCGGCTTCCTTTACTGCTACTCGCATGTTGCTTGCGTTGTCAGTAACAACAGCGATCCTTGTTCCAATCTTGTCCAGCCCCCACTCTTTGACTGCAGATTTAAGGACTTCTGCTATGTTTACGCCAGTGTGTGATTCGCTAAGCTGTCTAGTTTGTAAAACGTAACTCTGCATTTCCCATTCACTCGTCAAAACATGTGCCGTAATAGTGATGTAACTGTGAGTCGCTCTGGAAGTCCACCCATCAGTGGTAATAGCAATGCACTCAGACTGTTTAAGGTTCAACATCACACGTTCTTTTGTCTCACGGTAAAGAGCGGGGAACACAGTCTGACTAAAATGAGCCCGCGACGGCATGTGATACTTCGGCTCAAGCTTGGCCACTAACCTTTTAAATCCTTTGCCATCTACTGCAGAAAAGGGACGTAAATCACACGCTATGTATTCCGCGATGTACCTCGTGATTTCTTGAGCCCTTGCGCTGTTGTGTGGCATAGTTGTTGAAAATGCCTCCTTCAGGGTTTTTTGACCGGACAGGACTTGATTTGTGAGAGAATCTGCAAACTTTTCGGGATGATGGGTCGTCAGATGACTTCGCATGTTGCTTGTGTTTCCCGTGTTGTATCGCAGTTTACTGTGACAGTGCTTGCACATAGTCCATTGTCTGTCCACCACCTTCTCTCCTTTTGCGTTTTTTGACACGGCGAAACCAAAATGTTTCCAGACATCTGATTTAAAAGCTGCAGGGGCTGGCACAATCTCAACTTCGGGGTTGTTGTTTTCATCCTTACTAGTATCGCTGTCGGCCATGCTGGCTTGCTGTAAGCTTGTGTGGACAGCGTGCAGCGTGCAATCCTATTGGCTTAACAACGTTTGTTGTGACGACGCAGTGCAAAGGATCATGGTCTATGTAGTTAACAATGATTTGTTCCGCGGGACTGTGTTTATCCTCTTGTTTTTTGATGGACACCTGTCATTTTAATATTGTAACCCAACCACGACGATATCGAGACACGTTTACCACCGCGATAGCGCGATATCGTCAATATCGTTACATCCCTAGTATAATCTAAGCAGCTAGGTTTCTGCTTTTAAGATGGTTAATGGATTTAAGTGATTAAATACTGCTGTTATTAACCTGTCTCCCTATGTGAACACTATTAGGCAATCGGAATGGCTCTGGTGACTCTTGAACGTGCCTTTCCTAAGCTCCAGAAAACAGCTGAGTTCTGTTGAAGAGAACTGATTGTGTGATGGGAAAGAGCGGTCACCAGTGGGCACGAGTGACCATCTCTATGACGGGTAAGACCTTCTTTGGCCAGACAGGGGGCAACCTAAGGCAGAGGGGTCACGTAAAGTCACTGGGCATCTCCTGAATGGAGGTGTGTTATGTGAGACAGGTATGAGGGTTGAGCAGGAGCTGTGAGGCCAGCAGCGTCCTTATACCGTTACAGGGAGATGAAGCTGTGACGAGTCACGGCATGTCTGCCCCATAAAGCAAAGCTCCTCCATACCACTCACCAGAAGAAACCGCATTAGTTGTATGGCTTGTTTTTTATTGTGACAAGCGTCTGCAAATATGCCAGGGGAAAACACCCTGATGGAGATTATAGATAAAGGGCTAACAGAAATGGGCTTTCAAGGGCCAGCTGAGACCATGAGGGGATTGCCATTAGTTGTTGTGGAGACAGTAGCAAAACTTTTTATGTACTGGTTGCCTTATGGGCAAGGAAAATCATAGTGTTGATTTTGAACTAATAGGTCTATAACATAGTTTTAACTCTTGAAGGTCGTTAGACATGGTGGTGGCTAAAGATGAAGACAGCTTTTGATTTAAGGAAAGTCTGGATGACAAAGGTGAATGGTCAAAGGTTATTGTAATGAATACAAATTTTGTCTAAGTTACAGCCTTAGGAGGCTGGTGGAAAAATTATTTGTTTATAGTGAGAGAGACTGCCTGAGTTGGAGGAAGGGATGGTAACTGTGTCTGTCTTTCTGTTATCGGCCTGCCTGAGCAAGCTGAAGGGAAAATAATGATAAGGAACTAAAACAAATCAGCTGACTTGTCTAAAAATCAAATGAATAATGAACAAGACATGCTTTGAAAGTGGTTAAGAGACCATGTAAAATTAGATAGAAGCTACAGGAAAATGGAAAGGTTAAAATCTTATTTAAAATTTAAATCTTTAAGCAATAATATAAAGAAAAGTGAACATTGAGAATGAGCAGTTAACATATGTGTGTCTAGTCATCAAGCTCTGTCTGGTATTAATTATTTTTGTCTTTTATGATGTTGATTTGAATTACGTTCTGGATCAGTTTAAGTATTTGTGTAAATTGGAATTGTGTAGTTGTAGATCACCATCTGGCATGGGCTGAGATAAATGAAAAGGTTATAGATTTGATGTCAACAACAAAGTGACATATTGGCTAAGTCAACATGAAATTATCAAGAGAGCCCCTCACATTTATGATTATTGTGAACAAAGGGGGAGAAATGATTGACTGACATTGACCAAGTATGCACAGCATGACCTGACCTGATAGACACAATTGATGACTTTGGAAATGTTTGTAGATGACTGACTTGAGAGACCAAACAACAGGCCTGAAAAGCAAGATTCGCTGTGAGACTCAGGGCCATTGCCCTTCAAATACTTCGATAAGAAGATGAGATTGGGCTTTAAGTGAAGAATGTAATATTTTGTTTCAGAGACAGAGAAAGATGTATGGGCAAAATTTGGCTGAAGGACGTTGTTTGGGTTGGTGTTGATGGCAAATCAAATTAGTTTAAATTGATGCATGAGTTGATTAATGCATCAAAAGGGGGATGGTAACAATTGACAAAATATGGTTTACTAAGGGACAATATATGTTGGGAGGACACTGGGTTTAATTGGGTAAAAGCCTGGCAAGAAGCCATTCTTCTCCCTAACAAAATTGCTGTCTGTAAGTGTATTTGCAGGACTGTTTCAACAGGAAACACCAGGGCAGATGCAGCAGCGAAGGCCGCAGCAGTACAGCAGACAAAATAAACGATGTGTACTTTACTATCTGAAAATAACCTCGACATTGGCTTTTCTTTACAGAGCATGCAGACTTTTGATGCAGGGCAGAATGTCCCCTATAAAATAATGGTTATGGATGAATTTGAATAACTATCCTGGCCTGGATTGTTATTGTGGCAGAAAGAAACAAGGCCACACCTGCGCAGCGCATAACTTACATTTTCCTTTTACAGAATATTAGGATGGATTGGATCAAACAGAACTAATTCTGTTCCAAATGTATAAATATTGTGTTGTGGACATGAGCAAAGTGGGTTGAGTGTTTTTCAGGGTAAAAGGACCCCGAGTGCTATTAAGTGAGCAAGAAATTATCCGGAGATAATGTTTCAGGTTGTTGATTCCACAGGTCACACCAAAGGGGACGAGCGGCTGTCAAGCGGTCACTAACAAAATACTTAAGGTCTCCATTCACAGGTGGAAGCAGGCAAGAAATGGTTCACTCCAGTGGGGGTGCGGTCGTGATTTAAGGGAAAACCTTATAAGGATCAGAAAATGGTTGGAGAGTGTGACACCTGGGTCCAAGCCTCTCACCTTAGACAACACCAACAGGCCTCAACCATCCAATAGAGCACAAAGTGAGGGATTCAAGGACGTGCTAGTAACGTACTTTGCTCACCAGCGATGGAAGACCATGGCTACGGCACGCAAAGTGTCAACATGGTGAACACGGAACGCCCGTGGGGCGAACGAGATGATCAACACACCTGGAGGAACCAACTGCCAACTGATGGTTTAAGTTTAACAGAAGAATCTGTTTTTGTGATGATTTTGATGATTTTGTTTGATTGAATCAAACTAGGTATTGATTTGATTGGTGCAAATGTAGAAAATCTATTAATTTATGTGTAACAAGCAAAAAAGAAGGACCGTAATGGAGATATTAGAGTTAATTTTGAACAACTAATTTGGTTAGAGGAATGGGAAAAAAAATTATAAGACTTCTCTGGTTAGATTTGTTAAACAGTGCGTTCAATAGAGCTTACTAAATTGAATTAGAAGTGAATGAAATATGGAGATGGGCGTAGATTCATGGAAAAGGCTTAATGATAGGAGTTAGGATTGTGTGTGTTATTCTGATAATTTTGTTATTCATGGGTGAATATGATTACAGAGACAGGTGAAAACCTGCTGTCTGTTCAATTGGTGAAAATGACAGTCTATCCCAAGGATGAACAAAATTATGCGACGATACAGTTAGCGGGAGCTACAGTGAGATATGTGTTAAATGTATGTTCTGTTTGTTTTTCTTCTATTTGTTTATTTTCTGAGAAAGATTAAGGGCAAAAGATTTAAAGAAGGTTACAAGCAGCGGTCATCCGTGTTACGAGGTGGCGTACAAGGACAGGGTTTGAAACTGAGGGATTTTTATTACACTTTTATCTGTTTGTTTTCTTACTGTGTTATAACTATTTACTCCTTACTGGTGTGACTGAGGGTCTGCTTGCAGGAGCGCAGGAACAGTGATTCCTCGCTTAGCCCGGCCCAGTAAAAATGTTTACTTGCTTGCTAAATAATTATGGGGCTTTCCCCCACAAAAAAAAACAGCCTTATGCTTCTTCATTCTAAACTTTTTCTTCACAGGTTCAAGGAGAGTGATTTGAATGTAATGACTTGAATTTGCATTTATTATTACTATTATTACAATGTTTGATTAATCAGTTATCAGAGTATGATAAACAGAGAGGAGTTGTTATGGAATTTTTCTATTATTACTCTGATTTCAGTGATTCCTAATGATGGCCTCATTTGTTCTCACGAATGTAGTGAGAGGGGGCCTTTGGGTGATAATTTACTGTGGTTGGGAGTCAGTGGAGGTAAGGAAAAGCAGGTGGTCAAGGGGTCATCTTGAGTGCATTTGTACGTTATAGCCTAAAGGGTTAAGGGGGCATTTACCTCTCAGGGACAGGGAGAAATAGGAAAAAAACAAAGTATATCTCTCCTGTGAGGGGAGGGCAGAAATAAGGCCTTGGAGGACGCAAGATATAAAAAAGACAGACACTGCTTCTCTTTATCTCTCCTCACTGACTCACGAATGTGTATTGGTGACGAAGATCTCTCTTGCAAGAGAATAAATACTTTATAAACTATTAAATTGGACTCAGAGTGTCTCTTACTCAGTGATGATGTTTGTTGGTAAGAAAAAGCCACAGCAACATAATAGTATAAATGCTGTTGAATAGACCATTAAGCCAGTCACATTTTACATTTACACTTCAGTCCCAGTGAAGCTATTAGCTAATTTCTGGCATCTTCTGCTATGTCGTTCAGAGCTCTCTTCAGCATTATTGAGACTGTTATAAGAAATTCCTACATCTTCAGCCACAGCCACAGCGATGCAGCATACAATAAAGATAATACTGAAGCTGGGTTTATCCCAAAACGCAGAGGTGACACAGAGGTGACACAGACTTCAGATATGCTCTAACCAGATTTCTCACAGAGCTTAAAGGGTCCAAACATACTGTATATTTCCGTCTGTTTTTTAACAATCGCTAAATTCAAAGCAGATGAAAGAGCAGGAAAAGGAACTGGGGCAACATGTAACATTTTAATTAGGCTATATTCTGCTGAAATGAACAAAATGACAACCCATTCTCACTACCAAGGCGTCAAAAACTGACGCATGGTCAAGCGCCCCTAGCGTCACAGTGAAGGCGCCCCGGCGTCACTCCATGGACGAATTGGGAACTCCTATGGAGTCCTATGGAAACCTGTGGCATCAACAACAGACGCGAATTGTAT